GCCTACAATGGCTGCTTACGATGCAAAGAAACACAATACGTCAATGATGTTGATTTGTGGGGAGCCTAATGAGCACGAGCGGTTTACACGAAGCGGCCAGGGCAGGATCCACTTCTCTTACAGCAGCAATAACTCCCTATGAGCCTGTCTCTGCACAGACTTCAATCTCTGGGCCCTCAGGAGCTGTTGGAGGACTTTGATGTTCTGTCCAAATGAATTGACTGTGCTTCTTGATACAGCCCTCCAGTAAACCGACTCCCCCCACCAATTCTGCCACCTGTGATAAACACCACTCAGTAAATTCTGCATCACATCCTAAGAAAAGACGCTTTTTCCCACCATTCCGGTCTCTTCAAGTTTGCAAATAACTGAGATAATATATTTATAATTGTTGTTTTCCGCTCAGCCTTATCTGAGCAGAAGCTCTTTGATGTGTGAGGGGCTGGTTTTTGTTACCTTACAGCCCCTGCAACATCCAGTAAGTAAGCCTTTATGTTGGACGCCCCTTCAGGGTGTGGTGTTTGTTAGAGCCAGGGCACAGGCAGCAACCTCCAACCCACTTATACCATAGAAACCCTTTTTTATCCCTGCATACATGCTCGTGGGTTTACGGACATGATCCAAACAGATCTACGGTTTGGTCAGGAGCACTTGAGTGCAGCTAAGGAAGTACAAATTTGAGACCCCTACTTTGTCCCTTTGAGGACAAGAAAAACTGGGATTGACCCAGCTAACAGCTCCAATCAAAGGTGGGGACGGTGGTTAAAAGGAAGCAAAATTTAACCATCCAAGCTTCTTCTTAGTCAATTCTCATTTGACTAAATCCAGTTACCATCGATTCCGCTTCTACCTAGAGCCAAGGTGGAAATTTTCCTTGATAGTGTGCAAAACCTTGCATGAAGCGAAGGCGTTTAACCTATCACAGACGTCTGGGTTTCGGAGGGAAGTGTGAGTTCTACCAGCGAACACATTGATCCTCCCACACCTTGGGTTTTTCCCAGCGATTCCTGCGCAAAGCCTCTGAACACCTCTCTCCCTCCATGCAGCGGCGATGGCGAGCAAACCTGCCCTGGATCGAGCATCTCATTTAGTTGCCGGGGTCCCTTTGATGTGGATTCAGTGCTGTGGTGCATATCATTTGTGTTTGAAGGTTCAAGCTTCCACAATACAGCCGGGTTTGAAGTTTCACATATTGCAGGTGCTACAATGTGATAATCCGGGAGCCAGTTATGCATTAAACATTTTTTCCCCCTCCATAAAAGAACACCGTAAACTGAAAGTGAAATGCGGAAAAGTCAGCGCTTGAAGGTATATATTGACACAAACTGTTTCTGGGACTTCGGGGTGTGGGACGAAAACACTCTTGTTATCTCGAGCATTTCAGAATCAGCTCTACATCTTTACTCAGAAGGGGGTAAATATCCAAATAAACAGAGTAGAATAACATCTGACAAGGGCCCTCTATGCCGATATGAGACCAATTTAGTCAGCTGAACGCTTCTCTCAGGGCACAGAGGAGAAGAAGAGGCCATGACGGCTCCAGCTTCCAGCGAGGGGGCCAGCGATGAAAATCTCTTTAGCCATCTAATTTCACCAGGGAGCTGATTTGCAGCTTAGGGCAAATTTCTAACAGTGTCCTCTTAAATAAAATATGGAAAATCATCGTCAGCACTTATTTCATCAAACTGAATAAACGCATATGCCTTTATTGTAGCCATGTTTATAAGGAGAGATTAGGATGTAGCCTCCTGTTGAAATTTTTTGCATCTCTAAAGCTTGAAAAGAAGAAAATGGAGCTTTAACTGCATCCAGCACACTGAATTCAAAAAGAAAGGAGGAGCTGCTGCCCAGAGAATAAAACCCAGCTGACAGCTAATGTCTGTAAGAGACGGAGTTTTATGCAAGCGCTTATGATCTTGATAATTAAAGAGTGTTTGTATGGAGGTGCACAGCTACGCGTTTCTCTTTAAAGGATGTTTACTGTCTCTTAAGCACAGAGATGGTGACTGCCTCAGGGCCTGCCTACTTTCTTTTCCCCAGCTCGGCATCTATCTTTTGATAAATACACACAAACACACTCGTGAGTATATGTACAAAATCTACACACGTTCAAAAACACACACACAAGAAAGACTTGCTGCTTCCACAGACATCAGCCTCTCAATTAGCTTCTGCACTCATTTCCCCTCCTTGGAAGAGAATTATTTTTCAGCTGGATGCTTTTTCTTTGTTTATTGTGAACAGATCGAAGTCTTATCAGCCGCTAATCACCGCACGTCAAATTCAAAGACTCGCTGCAGTCACTTTAAAAAAGGGGGAAAAAAAGGAATTAGTAAATAATCTTCTAAAGTTCAGATTGTCAGTTTAGATTTGAACAATCGCCAGTTTTCCTTCAGATGCTCAAATCTGTCTAACAGCCAGAGAGGAGATCAGCGTTTGTTGGATATAATTTGTTGTGACATGTTAATTGCATCTACTTGTAATTCTCTCTAATTGATGCTTGATATGTCTCAGGAAATTAGGCCAACTAGATAACACTGTAGATGTTATTAATCCTCCCCGCCTTTCTCCTTTCCGCGGCAGGTCTGATGAATTCACAGCAGCTCGGACTGTAATGTGTCAATGTGCCGTGCAGCTTTGCTGTGTATTCCCAGAGCTGCCAGGCAGACAAATCTAAGGTTACAGGCGCACCACTGTATATTCACAACACATCCAGGCACACTGCAGTCAGCCAAAAAGACTAACCTGAGCAATTTTCACTGAGTTCTGGGTAGAACCACCGGCGTGGTACTCAACCTTGTTCCTCTTGGCAATTTCTTCAAATCTGAAATAAGGAGAAGTAGAAGAAATTTGACAGTTAAGCTGCAGTTTAAATCAAAACACATTTAACCTTCTAAAAGTATTTACATAAAGAAAGAGAATGATTCACACTAAGTCAATCTACTTTGTATATAAAGAGATTATAAACTATTAATATCTTCTGTGTGGTAGATTGAATTTGAAGAAGTTTCTATCAGATTGACAAGCTAACGGCTAGTACAGGCATGACCAAGATTAATGTGGACTGTTTGGTTTAAAACAGCTCCAAATGAAAGAAAATTACCAGTGATTTATTCTACTTTCTAAACATTTATACATTTAAATGGAGCATATACAATTTCACAGCACACACTAAAGTAAGGCGAGTACAAGTGGACAAACGAGGGCTCCAGCTCTTTGTGGTTCGGTAAATCTGCTGGTGTGTACAACTTTCTCTGAATGAGATGAAGCCCTCATTAACACACCTGTGCTTGCTGTACTCTTGCTTTTCAAAATACCCGACACCAGGGAGGGACCGGGACAGTAATTCAGTCTGGGAATTTGCAGCCGAGCATTCTGGCTGGGCAAGTTCCCAAACCTCTTAAGCGGCTAGCTCACGCCCGGCTGTATTAAACTTTGTTTTCCCTTTTTTTGATCACACTGGCCCACACACCCATAAGCCCACCTGGATAAGTCCCAGTACTCCCAATGACCAGTCCGCCTTTGCCTGACATGAAAGGAAGTAAACCAGGCTGCACTGGAATACTTTGCCTTTAGAGAAGAGGGAAGCAGCTACACCAAATATTTTTAAGATAAACTTAAAAACTTTTTTATTTGAACAAACATATGGTTAGGTTGTATAATTTCTAATTTATATCCTTCTTTTATAGATATAGTTTTAATAAGATAAGTGCGTATGTTTCACTGTTATCTTAGCTTAATTTTATGGCCGTGTATGGATGTCTGTGCAAATGCGTGAGTAAATGTTTGTGTGTGTGTGTGTGTGTGTGTGTGTGTGTGTGTGTGTGTGTGTGTGTGTGTGTGTGTGTGTGTGTGTGTGTGTGTGTGTGTGTGTGTGTGTGTGTGTGTGCATGTTTGAATGCATAGGTTTTAGTTGTATGTGTACATTTTATGTATGTATTCACCATTTGCTGTTAAAGTGTGCACATATTTTATAATTAATTGTTTTATTTAGTCTCTTTTACTGTTAAGCGGATTGAGTTGTTACCATGCAGGAAATGTGCTCTATAAATATTCATTCATTCATTCATTCATTCATTCATTTACTCACTGTACGTGCAAAAGTTAGCTTGTTCTGCTATGGATTTGATTTAAAAAATAACCATAAATATATGCATAAAAAGCCTTGTTTGAAACTAGTGATATTTTGAGGATTTATGAATTAGCATGTGCTACTACGACATTATTCATATTGGAGTTGTTTTAAGATAACAGCAATTCACTTGGTTTTTTACCTAGTTCAAACTAGTCATTAGCTTGCCAACCATGTCAGAATTCATCTTTACTTCTTCAAACTGAAGTCATTCAAACAAGTAATATATCAACTTTTCAGAACCATTCCACATGAGGCCACTTCAAACAATCTGAACATTCACTTTAATCTGCCTTATGGGCCAAAGTTAAACCACAGACATTAACAACACATCTATTAGAGATGCTGCTATAAATAAGCTTTGATTTCAGTTTTATTTTTTATTAAGTAAAAAGTAAAACGTATGTTAAAAAATCTCTAATGGGTAACCCCCACGTATTACAACACTAGAACCCAATCCCAGGTGACATAAATGAAGATATAGATACACTATGAATTACAGTGCTAATACAGAGAAATCTGCAACTTTATATTTTATTGAACATCAACAAAAGCAGCATACTGTTTGTTTCTTCAAGGATTTGACCATTTAGAGATGTTAAGAAACAACAGCGGGTCAAGAAAAACAGGCGTTCCACTGGGGAATGGGGAGTTTTTAGACACAAAACAATTAAGTCTACAGAGAAATACTGAAAACAGTTCTGTCCTTTTTGTATCTTTGCTTCATGTCACCATTTCAAACAAAAATAGCTTTGATGGTTCTAGTGGCGGCTCGCCCACAGGGGGCAGTAGGGCGCTGACCCACCAGTCTCACAGGAAGAAGATAGGGATCACAAAATGTTTTTTTTAAAAACAGGAAAATTAAACTAAATGTAATTTTACTTGGCCAATAAATCTGAATTCTGAATCTGAAACAATCGATACGTTATAAAGACTGTAAGTGATGTGTATAATCTTCATTAAAGCGTAGTTTAAAAGTGTTCTCTCACACTTTTACCAAATCAAGTCGTCTTGTGACATATTTTCTGTTCCATTTAAGGCGCTGTAATCTTTATCACGGACCCACACTTTAATTGGCACACGCGTGCTGGATCCCTCTTCCAATAAAAAGAATAGGAGCGTCTTTGGGCGCTGAGGTTTGTGATCGAAACATGCGTAGAAAACCGGCTGGGTGGAGTCTGAGCACAGATCGGGATGTTCACATGAAACCAGAAGATCTCCACAGTTCACCGTTCTTTTCATTTTTATGACCTTTTTTTAAACTCAATGTTCTTTGTTCGTTGTAAAGTAGCCGAGTACAACTTGTTGAGTTTATTTTATTATGGAGAACCAGAAAACAATGGAATGTGGCATCAGAAATTTGTAAACACTCTCCAGCAGGTAAAAACAGCCCAAAGCAGTCAGGAGTCAGCTCAGTGTGACGCTGGGACATGGGGTTACATGAACTGAGTGGATTTTTTTTATCATAAGATTTTTATGACCATAAACCAGCAAAGGTAACACTGAATTTACACTTTGACTTCATGATTTTAGATTTCTTTTGCTTTTCATTTAACAGCTTATTGTCACTGGGTGTTGTTGAGGTAGAAAACACTGATTCTATCCTTTAGATGAGCCTCTTCCTGTTAAGTGCGTGTGCAGTTTGCATATTTTGGTGAATATTAAGCATGTTTTTGGAACAACTTTGTTGCTGAAAGTGCTCGTGGACCTGGTACCAGGTTCGTCAGGTTCAAGTTGTGTGATGCATAAGGATTGTAATAATGCATCGCCTAGTGGTGGTATGTGGTTAGCGCATCTGAAAACGGATTTGTAAAAATGCGGCCCACCAAAAAAATAAATTTCACTATCCGCCACTAGATGGTTCTTAGCCACGTGATGCAAAGCCACTCTGAATTCTCTGTGTTGTTCACACAATAAGCCTCCCAGCGGGCTGGCTGCACAAACTTGTCCACCCTGGTAAGGTAACTGACCCAACAACAGTCCAGACGATATAGCATTTTAGGACATGCTGGCCTTTATCTGCTTTATAATACATGATGTCCATTTGGAAATATTTGCACAAAGAAAAAAATGTTATTCCTATACCATTCCATGTTATTTGTCGAGTACTTTTAACACAGCATTACGGCTGACCAAAGCGCTGCACATTAAAAACAAACAAGCTAAACGATCACATAGATATTAAGTACAGTAAGAAAAATGAATAAAACCCAAACAGGCAATTAGAAGCATAAAATACACAAATGTAAAATTAGCAATCAAGATGGAATGACTGGATGAATGAATTTTATATAGCTTTAAACGGGCCATACTCCTACAGTGGTGTCTGTGTGTCTTAATCAGAGTGAAAGAAGTAAAAATGGCCGAATGTAATCTCAACGAATGTATTTAAAAGACATTTCCTAATTTTTGACTTGCCAAACTCCAAAGTGTTGCACAATAGTGTTTTATTGTAAATAATGTCAAAAGACAGCACTAATCTGTATGCAAAGTGAATCATGACTGAACATGTGTGTATGTGTATGTGCTTGCGTGCATGCGTGTGTGTGTGTGTGTGTGTGTGTGTGTGTGTGTGTGTGTGTGTGTGCGTGCGTGCGTGCTTACGTGTGTGTGTGTGTGTGTGTGTGTGAGTGCGTGCATGTGTGTGTGCGTGCGGGTGTGTGTGCGTGTGGGTGTGTGTGTTTTAGAAAATCCAATACTTAAGCCCAACTTGGTTTAACTCGGCATGGCTGAATGTTGAGCTGGTGTGAAAGTAACCTTTGCTGGTTCAAAGAAAGTCTACGTATCATGTCTCAAGGCAAAGAGTCTTTCCAGGGCAGAGTGTTCCTAATAAAAAACTTTCCATGCAAGTGGAAAATATGCTAAGCACGGGGGGTGGGGGGCCTTCCTGAGACACCTGTTTTGACTCCTTGACAAAAGAAGAATTTCTGCACTGTGGGTGTTTATAACATGAAGGCAACCGAGGGACTCCAGACTCATTTCAAATAGATACACAGCTTCAGAGGATTTGAGCTTTTCCCCCCTCTCACTAGAGGTATTTGCTCCACCTTTCAGAGCAGCCAGCGTGAGGCCCTGGTCTCGGAAGCCCTGAAAAATCCCATCCGAAAAGGAGCAGCTGCCTGAAGACCTTTACACCCTCAAACATCATGTGATCCCACAGCAGTGACACCGTAAACGGCCCCTGTGGCCATTTAGGGGATAGAAAATCCCTCTGCATCTACTGCAGCCCTGAGCGCGCTCGGTGACCAGAGGGAGTGGAGGAAAAAAAAACTTGTTTTGAACAAAATGTCCTCTGCTTTTTAAAACCTGCCACTGCTGCTCAAAGGAAGAGTAATTTCAACTATGCCGTGCATTCCACTACAGTACGATCTGACATCAGGCTGCCTGTGGCTGTGACGCTCTGATGGAAGTTTTTCAATTTCATACCTTCCTGATGGTGGCGATCATTTGTTTAGCTTGAATCAAATTATATTCCAATTAGGTGAATTAGGCTACTGAACACAATATTTGCATTCAGAGAATATGAGCACCTTCCCTGAAAGGTAATGCCACCACATCTCCTCAGCTTTACGCGTTCTTCATATGGTTGGGTCCCATCACACAAGTTCACACTGTTGTTTACATTCCAGAGGCCAGGGCCCTCACCATTGCTTCCCATCAAGGGAAATACGAGAGCTTCCAAAGTACTGAGA